TCCACAATTTTCCCTTCAGACTGGCCCAACCTGACAAGGTGGTACAATTGCTTCTCCAGGAGATGGAAATGGGGTTCCTTTCTGAGGGTTTCAGGCTTTCCCTGTGCAGCTGTAAGCATTACCACCAAGTGCCTGGATCTCTCAAGTTGTGACTAACCCGACCTTTAACTCGGGAGGGAACAGAAGAAAATAAAGCAGTTTTTTCCTACTTACGCTCCACCCAAAGGATCCAGAGGCCAGAGATCTGCTGGCCCTCTTCTGTTCCTTGTTATGACCATGCCTTCTTTGGGTGACACACCTCCCACAATATAGTAAACTTCAGCAATGATGGGAATGTCAGCCAGTCTGAGAACAGCTGACTGGAAATCCTCTGCTCTGCTCAGGGTCTGATGCAAAAAAGGAGATGACAGTGAGGTCAGGTACAGAAACAAGCACTGGCACAACTTGAGAATCAAAAAGGTCCAGCCTGTCTGGAAATGGTCAATGACTCAAGCACTGCTTGAGAAAAGTCTTAGTATAGTAACATATCAAATAGTATAAAATAACCCTCGGGACAGGTATTCGCATTTAGGAGTGCTCCTGTCTTAACTGGTCATAATAAACCACAACTAGATGAAATAGTCCCTAGGAAGGAAGTCTTGGCACAGCTTCACCAGGACTTCTGGCACTGATTAGAGACTCCCTTGAAGGACTGGAACTGCCTCTTGTTTACTGACAATTCAGGGACAACACTTAGCTTTCTCTTGTGAAATCCATTTACTTATCAAACCACTAAGTTTTCTGTGCAACTGAAAGTTGGCAGATGCAATTTTACCGTGAGTTTCAGCACTAATGACATAACTGAAATGTGAGAAAGTAACCCAGTGCACTTACATCCCGGACCAGCCAGCTGACAGGGTAATTGCGATTAAGGAAAGCAGCTATGGCATTTTCCCACCATCTACCACCATCTGGGGAGAAAAAGGGAATTACTATACATGCAATATATATATAGACAATGAAACAAGACAGCTGCCTATCAGCATGAGATGTTAATATTTTATGGGAGAAAGGCCAACAAGGAGCACAACATCCTGATGGAATATAAATAGACAACCTAATCCCAACTGACGTTCAGCCACAGCAGCTGGATTAACACCCCTGTTTTCCAGAAAGCATCTCAGACCTGTAATGAAAAGAGTGATAATAATCTCCTAATTATTCATGTTACTGAAACAGTGGAACAGGAATAACTCCACAGAAATCATGAAGCAGTTAAAAACCAGTAGTGATAGCATTTGTGTTACCATGAACATTAGGAGAAGTAAGAAAAACAGAAGGGCAAGTTTGTTACTCACACACCAAAACCACAGGAAAGCCACTAGAATCAATATGCTTGTCACCTGATAGACCTTCATCCTAATTTAGTCACCCCCCTTCCCAACCACAGTCCACATGCTTATTTCCCTTCATTTGTTTTTCAGTAGGTGTGAACTAAAAGAAGACATTTTAGTTCAGATAAATCAGCATGCAGCATCAACCAGTTTACAGAAGCGTAGCATGTCTTTGGTCCACGAGATTTCTTAAGTCAGGCCTTCACAGAGACTTGATGAATTTGGGACTATTTCTAAGCTGAACTAAAAGTAGTTTGCATCTCTAAGTATGAGCCCAAGACACTCCAGCTTTGAAAGGATTAAATAACTACTCTGGTATCAGAAGGAGTATGTGTGTCAGCTATGGAAAGAATTTAGTGACTCCAACAGGGCTGCATTAACAAAGGATACAAGAATTCTGAGGTCCATGTGCTCCATACCAGAACCCCTACTCAGAGATAATGTATAGTGAATATTGTTTGTGTATCATCTAAGAATTTCAAAAACAGGTTGTCCAATTAAGAGATTAAAAAGCCAAAAATGCTTATCACCATCACAAGAGAAAAATAAATATTTTCTATGTTGGCTCTGAGACTACATTGTTGCCAATTCAAACAATCAATCAGCCAATAAAGAACAAAGTGTCAGCTTCTTAAAACAAACTTGAAAAGGGAGTGGGATGGAAGATACAAACCCCAAGCTTTGAATTGGATTTAACTAACAATACTTGTGACGCTGCAGTACCGATGGAAGAGAGGCAGTGACCTTTCCCCTTGGCCTTCCTCACTGCTCCAAGTTTTAGTTTTCAGCAGTGACATCTCTCAACTTCCCTCTACTACTGATCTTGCTCAGCTGCCTTTCCAGTGCCTCTGCATTCTCTCAAGCCCTGTTGCCTTTCCCCTAAATCTGTCTTACACTTCTCTTCCCATCCTCTTTCCAAGTGCCATATGAGGACAGACAGTGGAAGGCAGCAGAAGGGTCACAGGACCAGGAAAGCAGCTGTTTCTTCGCTGTCCAATCTGCATCTTGTTCTGTCAGCCCTTACTCTGCCACCTCCAGCTGTGACTCTTGACCAGACCTCATTTAGCCTTCCGCAGCTCCCGCCAGGGCTCTCCCTGTCCTTTGACACTTTCAGCTCAGATGACAAACACCTCCTCCTGCACAGCAGCCAAAAACTGGCAGCACGTGCACTTTGACTCCCCTGAGGGCAAAGCAAGTTGTTCCATTTCAGATCCTTCCTGGCAACCTTAACCTCACTTTTCCCTCTGGGGGAAAAGGGCCAGGGCAGGCAACAATCAGCAACAGTGCACACAATGTCAAGTGTAAGACATTTCATTTACCTCGTTCATCCCCAGAGATTGTGAACTTGTGTGGACTTTGTCCAGTCCATAAGCCTACATAGCCAAGAAATGTGGTGCCTTGGTAGGCTACCTGAAACCAGGAAACAGGCAGCACATCAGCATTCCAGAACAGAACAGGACTTAAAATATTGCTAACATTCAGAAGCAGCACCCTTGTCCTTCTTTCTGTGACTTTCATACCTAGTTGCTATAAAATACTATGCCTTAAATTACAGTATACCTTGCCAAGTAAATAATAAAAAGACTGAGACCCCAAATTTACTGCATTTCATTTGTTAGTGATCACCAGCTGCTACAAGAGTTTAGCTCAAATTAGCAAGCAGCCAAGCAAGAAACGAACAGTGAGCTCTCCATTTGCAAAACAGACTAACGAATGCAAATAAATTTACATTAAGATTCTACTAGCAACTAATTCATCTTTTGAAATCTTGACCCAAAACCACCATACACACTGGTCATAAAAACTAGAAAGGTCTAAAAAGTAAGCCTTAGAACTGATCCCTGCCAAAACTGATCACTTGTTTTCTGTAGTACTTTTCTTAGTATCTTGACATTTCTTTCTTTCAACATCTCCTTAGAAATAAGGATCTTGAGGTAATTTATTATGCTGTTCTACTTTCTCCAATCCATCACCATCAACTGGATGTCTAGAAAGTAAAGAAAACCAGCATTCATCCCACACTCCTGGAGAGTGACTGTGCTGCTCTAACAATCCAGTCTATGTGGGATGGGAACCACATTCCTGCATTAAATCCCCCTATCTAAGCAGCTATGGGCCAGACCACCCTGCTGATCCAATCCCAGACCATACCTGCCCACTCTTTATAAACTGCACATCAACTGTGATCTTGCTCAATAGATCAACAAAATCATAATCCAGGTTTCGACCGTGGTAGATGTTCCCTTTGTCATCCTGAGCAACAATGCTTGTACAGAACCTGCAAACACACCGGACAAAAATCAGTGAGTAAAGGGCTATGACAGTGCTTTCAATGTTATAGTCAAAATAGATCAACCTGTCAGGAGGAACTGGGTTCTGCTAAGTATTTTATTAATGTTTCCATGCAAATAGGAGTTTGCTCAAAGTCCAGTGACACACTAAAGTCAGGAAATCAGGTCAGAAACAACAGCACAGGCAGAGAACAGCACTTGAACTTGGGAGAAGTCATTATTTCCTTTTATTCATTTTCTAAATCACAAAAACACCCACAAAGTGTCCTGCCCTGTGTTTAACTTTGATAGATAATTTCACTTCAATTTGGATCATGTTTATATTTGTAGTCATACCTAGATAAGTTCAAAATAAGTCCTCTCAGTGAAACTGAGGCAAACAGTTGTTCAAGTATCAGTCATTTCAGTAAGAGACTAATCTCTAGAACAGAGAGTGTGCTCTAACTCCTTACATAACACTTTCAGTTCTATTGAAAAGGGCTTTTTTTGTGGAGTATATTCCACTAGCAGGAAATGAACAACTTATTTCCTCTAGAGTTACAAGTTTCTTCTCAGTGATGCATAATGCATAACCTTATCTCTCAAAAACATAAAGATAAAAAATTCCTCATGCAACTAGGTTGCTCTCAGTTGAGGGTTTGTTTGTTTGTTTTTAGAATCCAAGCTCAGAAAGTTGCATGGATCTTACCAGGGCCAAACATGATAGGTATTCTTTGTGAAACACTGACAAAGGCAGCATTTAAATAAGTATCATGTAAATATTATTGCTTACTAAAAAAGGATCACTAACTGAACATTATTAAGATATTAAGAAAAAAACCCAATCAAAACGCAGAGAAGTGGCTGTATACCCTGGATTTTCATAAAACCTGTATGAGAAATATTTTTAGTATCCTCACGGGCAACCCCAAGTGTTCATTATTCTTGTATATGTGCTTCTAAAGCACAAGAATAGAATGAAACTATTTTTTACACTGATGTTTTGATTTCTGTCAAATATTTTAGCCATTTTCCATTATGCAAATCAGAATGACATGATGCAGTCATTGGGAACATTCATCCACAAAGTGTTTTAGAACAACTTTCTCAAACAGTTAAAATAATGAAATGGCAACTAATTGTTCTAGCTGCCTTTTGGGTGATTTTACATGACAGAAGATTATCTTACATGACTTTTAAAGATAAACCACCCCAACTGCTTTGAATGGAGGGATCTACCTTATTAGCAGAAATTTTGAGACTTTTGTACACTTACATAGATGTATGCACACAAGAACACAACAGCTAGATTTTACTTTCACTTAGCCATATAAATCAATGTTCTCTTTCCATTTAGAATCCAAACTGCCTAACGAGAACGAAACCTTCCAGCTGAAGATAAGGCACTGTCCGAGAAGGAGCAGCACAAGTGACCTGCCTTGCTGTGCCTCCTCCCACGCCCAACTGCCCCAAGTTCTACCCCTGCTCATACCAGACACTGTAAGTACCGCACACTTACGCGGTGGACTCGTAGGCAAAGTTGAGCAGGATTCCATCTCCCAGACTGATTCCCAGTGCTTGGCACATCCCCACAATCTCCCCCGCGAAGGGCTGCGGCATGAATTGCTCCAGCTCCGCCGCTATGGGCCGGATGACTTGGTGCACCCATTTCGGGACGCTCTCGCTGCAAAACACCCGCGGCGTTAGCCGAGCGAGGGACAGGGGTGTCAGCAGCTCAACACCTCCCCGTCAGCGCGTCCCGGGCGCTGCGGGCACCCCCCGCGCGGCACTCACTCACTCGATGACCCGGGCCACGGCGGCGCGCAGGAAGGCGGGGTCGAAGTGTCTCAGCACGGGCAGCCAGCGCTGCTCGGCCGGGCTGTCCAGGCTCACGTTGCAGCGCAGCGGGGCCGTCGCCGCGGCCGCCCCGCACAGCAGCGCCAGCAGCGCCCACGGCCCGCAGCCCATGGCGCAGCACAGCGCGGGGCCCGCGGCCAGCCCGCTTTCCCCGCAGCCACAGCGACCGCAGCGGCCACGCCCGCCGGGCAGGGCCGGGACATGGCAATGCCCGCCCCGAGGCGTGCCCGCCGGGCCGGCCCGCAGACTGCACCCCCGCACCTCGGGCAGCGAACAGGGTGACAAAATAACCACCGAAACCGGTATAGGATACCGCTTAACAACGGTGTTGACCTTGTTCACCTCGTGCTTCTGCTTGCCAAAGTTTATAAGAGGCAGTCCAACACTATCCTTTTTACAAGGAGGGCAGACAGAACAGACACACACTTGGCAGTAACCAGGCATAGTTCTCAGCTTGCTGGGTCACACAGTAAGGCTGTAAACAAGAGGGAAAACGGAAGAGAGGACACTGGAGACTTGTCCTGAACTCAGCCTCAGTAATCGTTAGTTTTTGAACACATGCACATGAAGGGAAACCACTCAGGTCTTCAGCACAGAAGAAAATTGCAATACACAATTGCAATTTGTAAAAAAATCCTACTTGATTCTTCTCTCCTGGCTCCCTGAAGCCTCTTTAAGCTTTTTTGGTCTTGGAAGATTGTGACAAAACAATACACAATCAATATAATTAGGAATTAAAGTAAACACAAATACACATTCAACATGAAAAACAGCTAAACTGCACAAATTCCCACATAGGAGATAAGCAGTAACCCAGCTTCCAAAAAATAAAGGAAAAAGGCACCCCAACAAATGCTTTTCCATTACACTATGCTTATGGCACCTGTTCCTGCCCCACAAGGAAATTAATTTCAAACAGATTTTGACAGAGGATATTATAAATAAATCCCTCAAATTATTTATAATTTATCAACTCCTTTAAAACAGGTGGCTGGGGAGGGTACAAAACCCATTAATGGTCCCAGCAGAGGTCAGTGCTGAAGCACAAATTGAACCTTACATAAAGAATCCAGAGATGCACGTTATTCTCACATGTACTTGACAAGAGACACCAGCCAGTCACTCCCTTAGACTCACCAATATAGGAAAACATTCCTTTTTCTCTCTGGCATTTAAGGGTAGCATCATATTTAAATGGCAACATGAAAACCATCTCTCATATACTGATTTTAATTTTCTTCACGAGCTGCAGTGAAACTGATCGTCCCCCCAAATCTTCACTTCACCTTACCTGCATTACACAAGGATTTGGTCTTATTACATTGGTCCAAGATAGCTGCTCAGACATCTTACTCAAGTCTGTACAGTCACACCCTTAAGACAGGCACAGACACTACATACACATGTTTTATAGACTGACCAGAATGTTCTTAACTTCCCCTTACTTATTCAAGAACTGCCTCAAGTCAAATACTTTAACAATAAGATTGTGTATTTTAATACTTTTTTTTTTGAGTTTTGTATGTTAATTACATTAAATAAAAAGATAATTGCCTTCTCCCCTAGAATGCTTTAAAAACAAATTAAAACCCTTCAGGGTTTAAGGCCTTTATCTGTCCTACAGATGCAGAATCCATCAGCTTGTAAGAGTTCCAGCTTTAACTCTAAACTGAACAGAGATAAATCCACAAGGCACCACAGTCCCTCTTTCCCTCAGGGGGATGGTGGGTGGAAATAAGTATTTCCAGGGCTATTTCTTCAAGGGTGAGTAAGTTCTCTTCAGCATTTATTTCAGTAGCTTTTTCCTCTTTTTCAGAAGTGCATCTCGAAGAGCAATCTGGACATGAGACAAGAGTAGAGTGATCAGGTAAGGAGAATAATAACTGAGACAACACCCCAATCACATCAATGACCTTTTTCAATTTCTTTAACCTCTGAGATAAACACTAAGAGTTCATCAGCTCCAACTGGGAACAGCAATAGTAAATGTTAACTACAAGGGCAGAAACACTTATTTAGCTAAATTCTACAGTACAATTAAAGAGCTGAGCAATACCAAATACTATACAATGAAAGATAAACTGTTCTTGCACTGACTCATTTTAACCAGAAGAGATCAAGACAAAGCTTCAGCCCAGATAAGAGGTAAGTAAAAATGTTATTTGTGAAGACATACAACAAAACTTTCCAAGGGGGAAGAAAGGTTTACAAGTGCCATGTTACTCTAGAGAGCCATTGCACATTTCAGACACAGTTTAACTGGTAAAGGATCTAATGGTAGAACTGTAGACAACAGGCCATTGTCTTTTGCCATCAGAAGTGCTGCAGAATGCAGTGTCACACAACTAAGGTCCTCCAACCCACTCGTTAAAGTTACTTGCAAGTCATGTTTACAGAACTGATACTGTAGCATAACACGGGTGAAAAAGTATGAATAAATTGTTCTTGCATTGTTAAGCCATTATATTTAAACTCTAAGCATTAGTTGGGACTAAGCACAAAACATTCAAGAGGGTTATAAGTGAGCCAAGAACCACTATCAACAGCAGCTTCCTGGAACTGTGTGGATTGTTTATTTGCAACCTATTTTATGTGTTTTGAGAGCAGGCTTAATATAGTCAGCCTTATGTGAGGCAGATCAAAATACCACAGAGGATATTAGTCCACATCTTCCTGTTTAACACAAACACTTAAGACCACTTAAGTCTATAGACACCTTCAGTCTCGCCATTCTCAAGTTAACAAGTTGCAAACCAATACACATTATCCAAGTGATATGGTCCTGCCAACACATCACAAAAGAAGCCTCTGACAGCAGTAACAAGACAAACTAGCAAGGAGAAAAAACCCACCACATATAAAACACCTACATAACTGGATTATTCTACAAGTTTCTTGGAATATGTTTGGATGAGTTCAGTTTACTAACACCTTGTGAAATCCTGGACCAGCAGGGGCCTCACCACTGAGAGCAGCATTACAGTCAAACTACTGCTAAACTGATTTTCCAGTTCGCTTCAGGTAGCAATAGGTGTCCTTAAAGAACAGCTGTAAATGTTATTACATGACCTCAAGGCCAGAACAGATGAGTCCATAACACAATAGTAACAGGACAAAGGTCAAAGAAAGACTGCGGAGAGTGAAGAAACATACTGAGATAAACAACTTGATAAACAACTCCACGTCAGAGAAACATTACTTGTATCACAGGATTACAGTCAGGATTCTATCATCATATCTTCAATTTACGTAAGGAAAGCAAAATCTTCCTAACCTACACTTGACTCTGCAACAGGGCTTGCACCCCAAAGCATGTTAGAGGAGCCTGTCGAAAACATTCACTACAGTCTCCAAAACAGCTCCTCTGCTGGGGCACAATTCAGGGAAGCCAAGGCCACAGGCTTGGCAGCCATTACACCACCCAAGTTAGCAGCAACACCTCAGGACACAGGGTGCACAGCACTACACCTGCACTTGGAGTTTGAGCTCACACAGCCCCATCCATTTCCAGCACTCAGCATTACCTGTTTCTCCCGGAAGGACCGCTTGTTCTTGGTGCGGACACTATGGCTGTATCTCATCATCATGAAGTTCTTGTTCTTTTGCTTTTCTTTGTTGGAAGAGCTGGCAAAGGGGTTAATTCTTGTCTTCTTTTTTACAAATTCTTTCCTGTCTGTTTTTCCAGCCTAGAAAAAGATTGTAGTAGAATAACAGGGGGTAACTTTCATTTTCCTTCCCCACAGTCAACATCAGCTGCCTGATGGTACAGGTTCTATGGCAATAACAATAAACTTGGATTTAGGATGACTTTGTGTCCATACCTGCATTCTCCTATGTTGGCTGTATTTCTTAAGTCACAGTGAAAGTTGGGTGTGTTTGTACTTTTGTGGTCATCTGTGACCAGCAAGTGGCTGTTTCTTGCAGCCAAAATGCAACAGCAAAAAACTGAAATAGTTTCTCAAAACCCAATAGCAGCTGGGCATCCATCTTATAGATACAACCCCAACACCTCCTCTTTCTGCAGAAGGCAAACATAACCCTGAATCCGCAAAGACAAGACATGAAACATCCCAATTCCTCACCATTGCAGTTGCCAGTCTGGTCTCCTTGTCCGACTTGGGCTTCTTATGCAGATGTTCAATATCTCTGAGTGAAAGCAACTCCCCCCTACACAAAGAGAAATCCAGCAAAGGGTCACCACCCACAAAACTTTATCTGGCAAGGAAAACACAACGCCCTCTCGGTCTCTAATCCATTTCTCACACCACTGTCTTAGCATAAACTCAGGCACAAACAGTTCTTGTTCTCTTTCAGGTTATTCCTCATGCGTGGGACATCCCCCTCAAAAGCTGCCATTACTGTTTTGAAAGTCCTGCTTTATCCGCAGTTTCAGAAACTCTGAAGTAATAACCTAATAACAGTAGTGCTACAAACCCCTGAAACTCTTGGCCTGAACAAGCCAAACAGGCTCAGATCTTCCATAGGCCCCTCATATCTTTTCTCTCAGGTACAAACAAAATGCTGAGCCAGGATCCATTCTAGGGCACAGCTGTTTGCTACCTGTCTCTAGGGAATACTGATGATCAACAGCAGAGCTCTGTATCCTGCTGCAATGAAAAGCTGTTTCACCAGATGACAGTCCTTATCCTACCTGCCCTCCTCCTCTTCATCATCTATTTCAATGTATTTCCTCTTTGCAGCTTTGCCAGGTGCAGAATTTATTTCTTTGGAAAGCTGGGCAAGACGTATTTTCTGGAAGTCTTCTTGAGTCAGCAGCCTGCTCGTACTGACTGCTGCAGCTTTGGCTTTCCGCTCCTCTATGGGCATGCTTTTCACCTTCTCTGCCTTGGGAAGAGAAACACGTACAAAAGAATCACCTACAGCTTGGACAGCCACTTCTGTGCCACAATCTATGACCCTCATCTCCCAAATATTTATCATGTGAGGGCAGTTTTGTTGGGAAATGCTACAACCAGCTATTAGGATTCTTCTCAGTCTTATACCCAGCATCTAGTGTTTGATTAGATTACATGCATACCCTATTTTGGGATAAGTAAAAGTACTTACAAATATCACAACCCTGAGACAGCTTAGCCCTGAGACAGAATTCCCCCTTCTCCCCTGCTCAGGTGCTAAACAGTATTCAAATCTCATTTCTTCTGCACAGGTTACACTCAAGCCCTGTATAATTATTTATGAGCAGCCACATCCAAGTATAGAGCATCAGAATCTTGTTTACAATTAAGACCAATATATATTTGGGACAGGAGAGACTTGGAACTCACTACTTGTTGCTGCTCCTCATCTGAGGAGTGATGCACATCAATCCATTCTCCATCTTCATTGTCCTCCTCACTCAGACTGGCACTTTCCCAGCCATCTGCTCAGGGAAGACATAACCTTTAATGTGGACTCAACTACCCCAATAGAAATAATGGATTCTTGGATCACCTGCTCTCACAGGCTTGCATCACCTAACTCCAACTGCATTTTGCCCAGAGACATGAAGCCAGCTTTGCTCTGCAAAGCTTAACTCTCACCTCAAGGGCAATATCCTGAAAGCAGTGAATTGGGGAAGCACCAAAAGAGCTGACAGATGCTATCCCTTGTTACACTCCTCAGCAATGGTGGTCCCTGCTCTTTGCTGCTGGTCTGACTGAAGTGCTGATGTTACCAGCTTCAGAACCAAGCAGATTGTTAGAGTAATCACTGCATTCACATGCCTAAAAAGAAAGGCATCTCAGGGCATTTATTCCTCCCATCACCTCCCCTGCAGCATTTCCAAAGCACTCCAGCTTCATTTCCCAAACTCTGCCTTGCTTTCAAAGACTCCCCCATCCCATTTCCCCTCATTCAGGCAGGTGCTCCTGGTCACGTAAAGCATTTGCACAGAAAGTGAGTTTAAGGCAAATATTACTTCCAAGTACTGTTTCAGTGTCTGATAATTCTCAACAACTTCAGCAGGAGCTGAACATAAGATGTTCCACAGCTGTACAACGTGTCTCTGCTTTTCCATCCCACAAAGCAACACAGTAACAAACCCCACTAATGCACTTCAAGGATACAGGGAAGTGCAAACTACACAGGAAGGCAGTAAAATGAAATGCACTAAGTGTTATGTACACATCAAGTCTTACTGACAGTGATATCCAAAACACAATGGAAAAAAAAATAAAAAGGTCAACCTTCCTCTTGTGTTCCTCCCTTTTCCTTCTGATCCTCAACCTCTAGCACTTCTGCTCCTGGAATGTAGTCTTTGGCATCCAGTTCTCCATATTCATGGATCCTGGCTTCCACCGAGGCCTCAGTAGGTTTACCCTGTACATTAAAAAAAAAAAAAAATTACATCAAGCGGGCTGCTAATTTTAGTGCCCACAAAAGCATGAAAATATCAGGGGGAGCAGGAGGGTGTGGCTGGAAAAAAAGATCAATTTTGCTAGATGAAATAAGATCTTGAATTCCTGAAGGTGAAAGAACTCTAGGCAAAGAGCTCACCTTTTGGAGCACAATCTATCCAAGAGTTGCTGAATTTGAACTAAGGACAAGTGGAAACACAAGCAGACCGTGCCCAAAGGCAGCAGGCAAGGGAAGAACACAGGCTGGACTCCACCTCATTCTCAAGAGGCCACTGAGGCCAGTTATTTTTGAGCAGCTCAGTTCCCAGTGAATGCAATGCACATGGAATTCTTACCCTGAACTTCTTCTGCAGCATCTCCGGGTTCAGGGAGCGGAACAGGTGTATCAGAGTTCTTGCAGACATCATCACATCTACCCAGGAAGGGAGAGTCAGGAGTCGGTACCAAAAAACCCAAATTCTGAGCAAACAAAGCCTTCTCAGGCCATCAGCATTTACAGCCTTCTCTGCAG